TGTTTATACAAGCACAATTTGTGATAGCCAAATCTTGGAAACAACCAAGATGCCCATCACCTGAGGAATGGTTGAAAAAGATGTGGTATTTTTACACAATGGAGTATTATTCATCCATTAAGAATGATAAACTGCAAGCCTTTATATTGAAGTGGATGCCAGTTGAACATATATTCATAAGTGAAATAAACCAGACACACATGTGTAAATATCATATAGTCTCCCTAGTATAAGAACTCAAATGAAGAAATACAAACAGAAAGGTATAATACAAGTAAGAGGAAAGCAGGATCTCAAGGACTAATAAAGAAACGGAAAGAAGAAGATCTAGGAAACATGAATAAGTCAAGCCATACAGTTATATATAGAAGATGGGCAGGGCAATGATCCTGAGAATCTTAAGATTTTTTAATCTAGCAGTTAATTGGAAAGATTTTCACCCTGACTAACTATATATATACTGATACCTGTGAATTAAGCAACTGCACTGCAGATGTAATTCGTAATAGTAGTTTCATGCTTGGAGTGCCTGTCATTCTAGTCTTCTGAATATGGGCTGCTTGTCATGACATGCCAGTTGCTGCTATGATGTCTCTCGGGTAGGTGATTGTTCAAGAAGAAGGGGGTGGTGAATGAAATCAAGAGAGAGGAAAATGAATATTGTGGGACTGTCCTACTTCAAGGTTGTATACAGTGAGATTTTTGGACTTATGTGTAAATATAAGAAGTATATAATTCTTTACGCCTATTTTTAAAATACATTCTAATTTTTAAGTGTTTTTATCATATTCTGTAGAGACTTAAAGTTCAGCATATCATTATTTGATGAAAAATACCTGTTCCATATTATGCCTAAGATGTTTGATATGCAGATAGATAGTGAGGTTAAACTTAACAGTCTAACATGTATGATAATAACAATAAGCTTGTCTTCTGGATGCCTAACAACCTAAGTTTTCAGACCAAAATTAGAGAAAAAGGAGGGCTACAAGGAAAGCCAACATTTTGGCCCTAGCCTTCTAAGATCAATTAAGACTCAGAACACATGAGAACTTGTTCTGTAACGTCATGTAACTCGGTAGTGTCCCAAATTTTCTGATCAAGGCGATTATGGGGCCAAAGAGGAAAGTGATTGATGATGTAGAGTGTGCCTAAGGAGAGTCACATGGAGAGAAAACATTCTCTCAGGCTTTCACAGAGAGCACATTGGCCAAGCAATGGCCGTGACTCATCCACATGGCTGACACTGACAAAGGTTCCAAAATCCAAGCCTCTCTAATGCCAGCACATTCATGTTTAGAGCTCTCAAGCATTGATTTGTGACAGGGACACCAGAATTAATTTCATAAGTGATATTAGACAGCACCTGACCCTCAGAGACTGAGACATTTCAGGATCTCTATGTTCTCTACACAGGATTATACACAAAAGCTACCAAAACATGCTTGCCTTCATTTTTACCATTGAGGAGATCAACAGGAATACTCATCTTTTACCCAACATATCTTTGGGCTATGAGTCCCATAATTCCCTGAACAATCAAGGAAATATATTGGAAAATGTCCTAATATTGCACACAGGACAGGATGAGATCCCAAACTACACCTGTGGGCAAGAGAGCAAATCTATAGCATTACTGACAGGAACATCAGTAGCAACAGCTGATCAAAGTGGACCACTGCTGGAGCTCTACAAGTTTCCACAGGTGAGGAATCATGGACTAGGTAATTTCTCTGTTATTCTTCTTAGGTCCTTTAAAATGATAAGTGGGAACTGGAGTCATGTATCCCTCAATATATACAATCTCAAAAGAATTCACAGGAAATAATTGATTATCCAAACTTTCTTTGCAGCAGAGAAGGAGGAGAGGGAAAAGCAAAAGTTTCCTGAAAGTCAAAGTCTGATCAGTTAATTTTAAAAATAAGGCTTTCAGGAAATGAGATAAATCCATACATGGGACGAATTAGCATATTTTCTTGCTATTATACTTTATACCTGACACTTTCCTTTATATCAATTCTTCTCACATCACTTTCTATTGTCTTTGCAGCTGACCTTTGGCTCTTTTGATCCAGTCCTGAGTGAGTATGGCCAGTTCCCTTCCCTCTATCAGGTGGCACCAAAGGACACCTCTCTGGCCCTTGGCATGGTCTCCTTGATGCGTCATTTCAGCTGGAACTGGGTGGGACTTGTCATCACAGAAGGTCCAAAAGGGCTCCAGTTTTTATCAGATATGAGATCAGAGATGGATAAAAATAGGATCTGTGTAGCATTTTGGAAAATAATCAGTAGTTCTTCTCATTTATATGTATTAAATCAACAACGGGATTTCTTGACTGGGGAGACATCCTTAGTAAACGTTGTTTTCATTTACTATGATACTGATGGTTTAAATGATATAAACCATTACATAGGGCTACATTTAGTGACACAGATGGTATGGGTGACAAACTCACAATGGCATGCTGACATGACGGGGAAAAAGTTTATACTGGACACATTCCATGGAGCTCTCATTTTTTCCAACCACCACGAGGAAATTTCTGGTTTTAAAAGCTTTCTCCAGAGAGTCAAGCCATCTAGCTACTCTACAGACATTTTCTTGCAGCAGCTTTGGTACTCCAGTTTCCACTGCTCATTGTCTGAGTCTGACTGTGTATTGGAGAACTGTGCTCCCAATGCCTCCTTGGTTCAGTTGCCTGCAAATCGTTTAGAGCCGGCCATGAGTGATGCGAGTTACAACATATACAATGCTGTGTACGCTGTGGCCCATGCCCTGCATGAGATGCTTCTTTGGCAAGTGGAGACGCAACCAGTGAGGAACAGGACAGGCGTGATGACTTCTCCCTGGAAGGTAATGTCTCTTCCACCATATGGTAGTTAGCAAACTTGCTCATTACAAATTTCACATGTGCTCAAAGACAGTACTCTAGAATCCTTTTTCAAAAGTACAAGAAATTCTGTACTAGTTTCACTGTGCTTGAGATCAGATGTTTGTAATACATCACAGCGACACTAATCTTGAGGAAATCATTCATACACACATCACATCTTGATCAACGTTATTTCCTTCTTCCTGGACCCTCTTCTCTCACTACTTCCCCATATCCACTTTCCATTTCCTGGCTTTTTGTTCTTTACCATATATCTTTTCTTTCAGTTTTGTTATTGCTTATAAATTGGCTCTTTCATTTTAGAGAGACAGCATTTTATGTTATTTAACCTACTGTGTCTATTTTATTTTACCTAGTATTATATATGGCCTCAGAATTCATCCATCTTCCTGAAAATATTCCAATGTTTTCCTTCCTTATGTCTGGATAGTATTCTGTTCTGTATTAATAGCACATTTTCTTTGTGTTGTGCTACCATCGCCATGAGACATTAAGAACTTTTAAGTTTTTTCTTGATTTCTTCTGTGACCCACTGTTATTCAAAGTTATTGATCTCTCTGCATTTGTGTAGTTTTCTATAGCTTTTGGCCTCCAATTTTATGGTTGTTTTAGTATTCTTGAGAATATCTCCAATTCTTTTGTATTTATTCAAGGAACTTTTGTGGCCTCAGATACGGTCTATTGTATTTTGCTGAGTTCACACACCTATAATAATCAAATGACAGAACTAAACAAAAGAAGGGGATGCAGATGAATATCCATTTTTGTATCTATGTATTCAAAATGGTGAGAATAGATAGTTAGATTCTCTTAATGAATAGAGGGATTTGTTCTAATAGTGTTTGTAAATACGATATCATGTCCGCATCTCGTACAGCAATTAACCACTAGGAAGAATGTATGCAATGTGTTAATTATTGAAACTGTCCTACCAATTTGGTTTGAAACTGTCTCATTGCTATTTGTTTCTTAATAAAATTATGGGGGGAAAGACATGGTCTATTTTAGAAATTCTGTGTGGCACTAAGGGAAGTATAGAATCTGTTGCTCTATAAAACATTCCAGATATGTGCTAAGTATGGTTCTTCAATGATATTGCTTTGTTGACTCTTTGTCTGGTTGACCTGTCTATTCATAACAACAGATACTGGAGTCCTTCACTATGATTATATTAGAGCTTATCTGAACATTTTACCACTAGTATTTGTTTTATGAAAGTGGAAGTGCCACTATTATTTGCATATTTTTTAACAAATGTTCTGCATTGTTTTTGAAATGTTCTTTTTACTTGTACTGATATTCTTTGTCTCCTCTGATCAATTCTTGCTTGAAACCCCCTCTGTCCAAAAATAGCCACACCTATGTAGTTGTGGGCTCTTGGTTCAGACTTTTGCCTTCAGTCCATGCTCTATATTCTGTTTTGTGGGGATTTGTGGGATTGGTCTCTCTCTCTCTCTCTCTGTGTGTGTGTGTGTGTGTGTGTGTGTGTGTGTGTGTGTGTGTGTGTGTGATTTGTATGAAAAAGAGTAGTTGAAATTTTGTATTAAGCCTGCCAGTCTACATTTTGATTAGAGTGTTATGTCCATTTACATGCCAAGTATTACTGAAAGACTTTTGCTAAATCTTTTCATTGTATTATTTTTCCTTTTGATTTTTCTAATGCTTCCCTCTGTTTATTCATCCAATTAGATCTAATCTGTCTCATTTTCTTCTTGGTGATATTGGTCTGGCTGTCCTCATCTATCAATGCTGATTTGGTGGTTATCAATTTTTTAATGTACTCATACTCATGAAAATTCTTTCTTACTCAAATATGAGACACAATTTTAAGGGTATGTTAATCTGGATTTCAATAAAACTTTTTCTTCTAAAGCACTCCAGACTCTCCTGGATCTTAAGGTTTCTGTTGAGTATCTGTTATTTTCATAGGCTTGCCTTTAGAAATTATTTAACACTATTCTTCAAATGCTATTGGTACTCTTAGTGTACTGAATTTATGATATGTCATGGAAAATATCTTTTCTAGTCATGGCTATGTAGGGTTCTGAATGCCTATAATTCTTGGGATTTTTTTCTCCATTTAATTTTTAGTACCCATATGACATAATGATCATATATACCATGGTGTGTCAGTACATGTACAAGACACATCTTAGTTCTCTTTTTTATCCTAATTCAGCTCCCCTCTTCTCTTCTCCTCCATATGTTGGTGCCATTTTCCTTTGAATAAGGTCTATCTCCATTTTTATTATGTTGTTTTCCTGTGTACTTTATTTATATCTTGTGTTTCTAGAAAGAAAATCATGTGATACTTAAGCCCATGTATCTGATTTATAACAAAATATTTCTTTCTTCTGCATTCTAAAAGCTGCTCAAAACAGTTTTATAGTATTGCATTTTAGGATACCACCCCAATACATGATGTACTACATCAATCTTGCCTTCCAGTTCTAGCACTCACTTCTCACAGCACAGTAGCAATTACTGCTGGCCAAACTTTCAAGAGAATTTCCATATCATAGAATTTGCCTGTTGTGTTTTCATAATCTCCATTACTTTACTAAAATGATCATCATATTTTCCATCTTATCATTAATTCGGTAAATTTTTGATATTCGTCTATGCTCATTGAACATTTTATAAAATTCTTTATCTGATATATATATATATACATATATTCAACTAATTGAACATTGTATGAATTTGTTCCTTCTTGAATCTCCTCAAATATTTTACTCATTTAAATTTTTAATTAATCATCTGCAAATTCCTCCACCAATACCTATAACTTTTGAGAGGAACACTGAGATTTTGAATGCATTTTTTACTTATTTTTCTCATCCTTCTAGCACATTGTTGTCTGTGTTTTTATTGCTGTAATTTAAGGCAAAATCTCCGCCCCTACTGTGGACATCTCTTTCACGTGTTCTCTTGTTACATGATCCTAGATTTGGCTATACTTTAATATTTACACATGGCTTCAGCCATCGCCACATAATCAAACCAGTCCTGGGGATGACACTGTGAGAACCTATAGTAGATATTAACATCTATAGTCATCTATATATCAATCATATAATTAATTGTTTATTTTTAAAGAGAATCAAAAATATTAAAACCCCTTTTAGAAATGATACAGAATTTTACTAAGCAAAACAATAGGAATTCAACAGTGGTTGTTATATTACATAATGTTGTCTTCAAATTAGTTGTTCAAATTACCAGATATAACCATACAAAATTGGCTTTAAAATGTTATAAGAATTTTAAAAGGAGGAAAAGACTATGCATTAACTGCCATTTTCAATAGATAAGCAAAAATCAGTAGTACAATTTTGCAATGCATCCTGTACGTGCACATAAATATATCTTTTGTCTTCCTAATTTTTTTCATTTGTCCTTTGTCTCATGCCACTGTTCCATTCCTTTCAACAGATTCTTTCCATTTCAGAGTATCTATTGTAACTTTAAGGTATGTCTTAATATTTCATGTTCTTACATTCGTAAGACAATATGATGTTTTTACATGGAGGTTTGATTTATTTCATTTATGAGTATAGACTCTAGTTGCTTCCACTTTCTTATGAAACCCTCAGATTGATCTTTTTTATAACTCAGCAATACTCCATTCTGTAAATATACCACATCTGAGTTATCAAAATTCCTCAGTTGATAAACATTTGGGTTGTTTCAAAGATTTACCTATGATAAATTGTGCTGCTATAAACATGGTTGTGCATATATATCACTGTGGTATGTTTTCAGTTCTGGAAAACTACTAGGAGGAGAAGAGCTGGGTTGATAGCTATTCTAGCTCTAATTCTAGCTTTCTGAGGACTCTCTACACAGATTTCCATAGTGGTTGCACCATTCTACACTTCCACCAACAGCAGAGAGTGGTTCCTTTATCCCAGCCTCTCTACAGTTTTTTGTTGGTTGACTTCTTGAATACAGTCATTCTTTCTTGGATGAGATGGATTCTCAGTGTTTCAATTTGCATTTCTCAAATAACCAATGATGTTGAAATTTTTTCATGTATTTATTTGTCATTTGTATTTCTTCATCTAAGAAATATATTTTCATCTTAGATGCACATATTTGGATTGGGCCTTTGAATATTGAGTGTGTACTTTTAAAAAAAATATGTGTTCCAGATAGAATTTCTTTGCCTGAGGGACAGTCTGCTAATTTTTTTCGAATCATGGGTTTACTTTTTACTATGTTGGTTATGTCTTTTGAAGTGCAGAAAGTCTTCAATAGGATGAGATCCAAGTTATTGATTCTTTGAAGTATTTCCCATGTAGTTTGCTTTTTGTTCACAAATTACCTACTACTGTCTTTAAGATTTCTACCTACTTTCTCACCAGTACATTTACTGTTTTTGCTTTAATATTCAAGTCTTCAATCCATTTATCCTAGATAATGATATAATACTGGAGACAAGTGGACTGTAATATAAAAGATGAGGGAAGAAAACAGTAACAATAAAAGAAAAAGAATTGTTAAAGACAGAGGAAAATGTGAAAAAAAAAGAACAAAATGAAAGAAAAAGTGCATCCGATTTCACTGTTACTTTATTTCTGGAGTTGAGGACTAATAGAAAAAAAGTTTGTGAGAATACTTTGGGGGAAACAAAAGAAAGAACAAAAAGGAAAGTCACCTTTTCTCTAACTGTGAGGAGGTCAGAATACATTACTATGCTGACAGAAACTATTCATATCCTCTAACCATAATTATGGCAATGGTTATCCTAATGGAGAACACACACAAAATTTCCACAGAAGTAGAGTCCTCTCATTCTTATTGATATTGTTGATAGAATTCTCCATACATTCACAAATGGAGGGATTTTGTCTTGTACAAGTTGTGAGTCAGTGAGTTCCTGTCCTCACTGGATGAGTCCAGCAGCCTGGATATGTCTACTGATGATGAATCTGGCTCTTGTCCTACAGTTGTGCTCTTGCCTCCCAGTGGGTGGAGGGACTAGGGCATCAAGTGGACTTCTCCTATTCCCTCTCCAGGCAACGCTCTGCTTACTTTTGGTCACATATCTGTAAGCACATATAATGAAAGGGGGAAGTTGTCTCTGGATGGACAGATACACCTCTAGTCAGAGAAGTACAGTGTACCTGGTAAAGTGCACAGTCTTGTTGATTCATGAAGGGACTTTCTCAATCTATGGCCCTTTTCTTCCATGAAAAGTCCTGCAGCTGCTTGTTTCCTTTTTCTGCACTACTTTGGGCAGTCGGCCCCAAAATGTCCATGGCTTTGCTATGCCTCTGCAGTTGTCCATCTGTGCAAGTTCCTGTAGGCATCTTGCAAAGAGCGACTATCCATATTGTAATCCCCAGTGATTCCCAGGGCTCACGTAAGTCAGGACATTTTCACTGTGGCGGGAAGTTTCCCCTGCACTCACTGAGTTCTGCTGTATCTGAATGGTGAGTTGGAGGCAGCATATTTTACAGGCACAAAAGTCACTATTATTTTGAAGAGCTTTCTCTGTAAGGTTACAACTCTCTCAGAGTCTGGTTCTTGGTCTGTAACCAGAATATTGCCTTGTTTCTTTCCTAAGAGGCAGCTGTTTCTAACTCAGTCCAGGCCTTCTAAATAATCTTCGCGTTTCCAGATCTCTAATGCTCTAACTATAAATATCTTTCACACTAGGATCACTGTAACAGTGAGTAAGACCTTAAGACAGGTGGCCACTGAATATTTGTTGCTTGCCTAAGACCAATGGAAGCAGCTCAACTCCATTGCAGAACTCAGCTTCTTTCTCCAAGTGTTAGAGAAGCCCCCAATAAGGTGTTTTTGTCAGACAGTAACACTACCAAGATTGAGGGGATCCAAGCTTTTCTTTCCACATACACCTGACACTGGGGTCCATCAGGTGGCCTTACACTTCATATTTCCTTTCCATATTTGGATATTTGTTTAATATCCAAATATCCTGCACTCCCTTTGCTGACTTATTCCCTTTTCATACTAGTGCCATAAATAGGATGCAGAGAACAAGCACTGTGCCCCATCAACCATGGTGGGTCTTGATCTGTGCTCATTAGTTAAACTTACCAGGGCAGAAACTTCCATGAAGAAGAAGGAGCCATGGTAAAGGAGGAAATATAAATGAGTGTGTTGCTTCAGTTCTGATGCATTTCAAGGCTCTCTAGCCCATTTCTATTGAGAAAAAACAAGTTTTTCCTCCTTTGACACTTATTAAAGGAAAAAAAAAACATTTCTCTATGTACCCAAATGGTGGTAAACACTCAAGTGAATACATTAAATAAATTTGCACACTTAATTCTCCAACTGCTTTTTATATCAATAGCTACATTTTGCAGTCATGTACACTGGAAATGGAGAGAAATTTGTGTGGGATGCTCTAATGTAGTAGTTTGAGTTTTCTCAAAAATATAGATACACTCTCTAAAGGAATATTCTATTGAAACTAAGATTTTTATTTTA